TTTATTCTAAAAAATTATTAAAAAGGTTTTTTACAAAAAGTTACTATACTTTTTACATGAACACCTTTAATAATACGAAGGATTATTGAATCGAAATTTTATTTCACGCTAAATGCGTTGCAGCATATCATTAGTTATATTGTACATTAGGTATGACGGTCATAATTCGATTGCGTAAAGTGATGCTTGGCATCCTTAGTAAAATAAACTACATTGAGGAAAAAAGTTATTGATTGAAAAAAAATATTAGTTGATTCGACTAAATGCGAAAGTGTCAAACAAATATTTGTTTTCAAAAAAATTCAAACAATCATTTTAAATTACACGTGAGTTTATTGATATAACTCACCTATATATTTGACCTAAATACTAAATATTTCAACTAAAAAATCACTACGAATTCTAAACGCTTTAGTCAAGTTAATTGCGTTTTTCACTGGCAGAACTGGTGTACACTCAGTGCACTTAAAGTGTTACTGTTGTACAGTAATCTGAATGTAAAAGAGATATCTCAATTAATAAACTATTCAATGTATATTTTATCAAATACTACAATAAAATGTATTGAGGATTTTACGGTTTAATTCGTTTCTATATTTTTATTCAACGTACATCTTTACGTCGATTTTTGTACAACGGCTTTAATGTGCACTGGGTGCGCACTAGCTCTGCTAGTGAAAAGCTAACTTTTTTCTCAGTGTACTTGAAAAAGTTGTATATACAATATTTGGTGGACGTGTAAGCTTTAATGAGAAGAAGTTTTGTCTTATTGGAATACGTTATTGGGATGCAGGTGTGCAATTTACGGAAAGATAAATAATTTTAGCATATCCAGATAATTATCAAAGCAATGTCAGTTCATTAAAGAAAAATGATTCGATAATCATGTTCTTTCTTAGAAACTTATAAGTCCGCCAAATGTTAGCTGTAACTTTTCCTGATCGTAGTTTATTTCCAAAAATTATTTCACCAAACGTGAATATTTTATGCGATTAAATTGTCATCGTCATTGACACATATACTAATGACATGCTGTAATGCACTTGGTATATTTGAAGTGAAATAACGGCTAAAAATCCTATACTAAAAATCCTCATGTAAAGTAGGTTGGTAATTTTCCGTAAAGGACTTCTTCAATTATTCTTTAGAAAATAAATATCCAGAAATATACATGTGTTTTTTTTATTTCGCATCATTTCAAAGTATTAGAGATTTATCGTGTACACTCTGTATATTGTACACATAATTTGAGATTCGAAGAAAACGAAGATACATGATAATTAATTTATGCTCTTCAATTACATATTAAAAAAAAAGCATATTATGTCAGCTTTGCATGACTGAACATAACTTATGCCGATTAAAAAGTATTTAGAGTCAGATTCCGATTCGCATTACTTTCGCGGACAAACGATCATCGCGCAAGAATTGCTCGAGGAAACGAAGAGACGCAAATGTACGTCGTGCGTACCGAAAAATCCCATTTTGTCGAAGAATCGTATTCACTGGCGCGAGGCCAATTCCATTTAGAGTCCTCTACACAACGCACTCGAGGAAAATTCTGCGAGTTGGTGCGGCAGCAGAAGATGGGCCGCGAGGCCGGGAAGAGCGGAGGATAGCTTAAAAGAATCACTTTTTCCTGGTAGGCACCGAAACGACGCTGGAGCGACTTGTCGCACGGCGGGCGAATCTATCCTGGACTTACGCCAATTTCGATCCCCGTAACTGCCACCGTTCCGATGCACTCGCCAGAAATCGTGCGCTCGCTTCCGTCGTCGTCGGAAATAAATTATTGCGATCGCGCCCGAAACCTTTACCCGCGGTGACTATGTCTTTAACCCTTTCAAGATTGAGTATAAAAGAAACATAACTTTTTATTTACGTTGATTGTACTTTCAGGATATATTTAAAAATTTCTTTTAAATTCTGGATAGAGAATAGTTTCGAATTCTGAACCGGTGTTGGTTATCATCAATGCGCAGTAATTTTGTTTTAAAAGTAGCTTTAAAAGTACTTATTTTTTGACAGAACAACTACTTTATAAAGATTTCAAAATGATAAACTTTTTTAGTGCGAAAGCTCACAGAATTAAATTCCGGTGTACTGAAAATATATCACGTTGTGAGAGCATCATATTTTATTTTTCATCTTCTCGATAAAAATCTGTAGATGACGAAGTAAAAATACTTTTTATTCCTTTCTGTATTAACGTCTTACGGAAATGGTAAATGTAGGAAGAGATGAGAAGTTTGGTATCCAAGAAAAATCAAGAAGGAGAAGAGAAGGCGGAAGTGAACTCGCAGTTCGCCGCGTTGTTGTGTAATCAACTTCTTGAAAAGTCGCCAAATTCGATTCAGGAATTTATACGCGAGCACCTAGCTCCTCCAACAATACACAGCGTTTTTATCTAAGAACGTATTTTCAAAAGCATCTAATAAATTATTTAATTATTACTTATATCACTTGTAAATATTAGAGTAAAACAGAATGAAATGTATTATGATAGTATTATGAGCCACTCTTTCTCAAGATTAGTTCAATTTTCACTCTTTAGAGTGAGATTTCACTCTAAAGAGTGAAACACAAAAGAATTTAGAGAGTGGGTATTAACAATTTTGGGTCAAAGTTATCTCGATTTTGAATCAAAATTACTTCATTTTACGACATGAAAAATTAAATCGTAACCTTTTATTAGATTTTATATTATATTGTGAATTTGTTGTTAGACAATGAAAATGATAGTTTTCTTGATAAAAAATACGAAACAGTCAATGAAACTGACGATGAACCGAATCCGAAGGCTGAAAAGGAGGCGAGTAGACAATGAAAAGCACGTTGGCAGAAGATTAACGTATAGTTGACTTCGTCCCTGCTGGGCGCGATGAATCCGTTGGATTCGTGCCAATCTTCCCGTCGACATTGCCGAGCCACTATTTTCAGTTTAACACGAGCCTCGACCTGCCTCGACGTCGTCCGCCCTCTCGCACAATTCCATCGCGGGATTATGGATTGTTTCGAACTAAGTTTCATTTCCCGAGAATTCCCTATGCGAACTGGCTACCGCATCACGTCGGCAAACGTATATTGCGCTTCGATATCATTGAATTTCAAAACGGCAGATAAATAATTAATCGCGCGCCTCAACATTGGCTGCTGAAATACTTATTAGGATTCTGCAATCGTGGGTCATGTGGTAACATAATTTATAAAAAAATAATCGTTACAACAGAAAGAACAGTTTTAAAATATTTAAAAATTTGATTAGATACAGATCTGAAAATAATTTTGTCGGACTATCAAAAGTAATTAAGAAACTGAAGTAATGTTACAAAAAGTTTTTGATATTTCAGCAAAATCGTTCTTTTCGTATATTTTTCGAAAAAAATTATTCTGGGAGAATGAAATTATCGAGAGTCAATAAATCTCATTCCCTTCCGAATATCAATTTTTTATTTTCAATTGTAGCAATTTCTTTACGGATAGAATATTTTTGCTGAAATGAAAAAAAAAATTTAACTAGGTACGCTTAAGTTGAGTTGTTAGAACTTTAGTACTAAACTAAAGAAACTTTTTATAGCATTGCTCACCAGGCTTCAGTTTTTTACATAATTATTTTTATGGTCCAACAAAATTATTTTCAGTATGTATTTGCCTAATTTTTTTAATATTTCAAAAAAATGATTTTTTCTGTATCTTCATTTTTAGTCTTCAATCTTTTAAGATAGATATGATTTTTGTCTTGAGATCATAATGCAGCGTATTATATCGAAATTGACAAAGTATATATAACCTCGATGTAAAATAACTCGATGAATCGGCGATTTCAGATATTTTTCAGGAATTTTAAGAATCAACGACTGCATTCGTATTTCACATTTCGCGCAGCATGGCAATGATTTGAAATTATTGCACGTTCTAGGTCGCTCTCTTTCTATCTTGCTCTTTTTATTGTTGCACTTCTATTCTTGCGTTTTCATGTGCTTCTTATTTATTATTACGTTTCTATTGTTGCGGCTGGTTGAGGATTTCCAGGACTTTATACGGTTCATCTAGCTTTCGTCACGAAACGTTTTTTTATCGTTAAAACGGAGGAGAATTTTCTCAGAATATTGTGTTCAGTCTCACAATAACCGAGGTACAGCTTCACAATCTGAACTGAAACCTTCAGATATTAACGGTGGATATATTGTATTTACCTATTGTATTTACCTATTGTAGAAAAATATTTTGCCTATTATATTTTATTTACCTGCTGATGATTTTTATGGCTATCTCTATGCAAAAACGAGAAGATTTTTGAAATTATTTAACATCATATTTAAACTCGAGATATAACACATCATAAAGACATCGTTTAGACGTTATATTGTGAGAATTAATGTCTTAACGATGTCTTTAATGAACTTTCAACAACAGGCCATTAATGATAAATTAGAAATTAAAAGCGAGTTGTAAGCAAATCAATAGCGTGTTACAAGACAATAATAAGTTAGTAATCAGTGATTACATGGAGTGACTATTTCTATTTCTTATTCTATTTCTTCGATTTAAATTACGTTATGATTGAATAAAAAATCAATATATATATTTGCAATCTTTATTGAAGATACCAGAACTGACTGGCATAATCTAATGAAAATTGAACAATT